CTCTCTCTCTATCTATCTATCTATATATATTGATATCTATATCTATACTCATATCTATCTATCTATACTTCTACCATCACTATCTATCTATTTATCTCTCTCTCTCTCTCTCATCCTCTCTCTCGTCTCTCTCTCTCTCTCTCTCTCCTCTCTCTCTCTTCTCCTCTCTCTCTCTCTCCTCTCTCTCCTCTCTCTCTCCTCTCCTCCCTCTCCTCTCTCTCTATATATAATAATATATAATAATATATATATATTATATATATATATATAATATATATATATCAGGCCAGGCTGTCTATCTATATATCTTTCTATCTACATCTTTATTTATATGATTATTTATCGAACTATCTATCTGTTTATCGATATATCTATCTGATTATCTTTTAGTCTATCTACTTATCTAACCATCTCTTTATCTATATATATATTTATATCTTTGCCTTGTCATAGTCCTTCCTTTTCTCTTATTCCCTCCTTTATCTATATTCCATCTTATTTTCATTCGCACCTATCTTCTCTTTCCTTTGCCTCCTTCACACTATTTCCATATTTCTCTCTATTCTTATCCCCTTCTTCTTCTCTCTTTTCCTTATTCCACCTTTATCACTTCCTTTTCGTCATCTATTATTCCTCCATCTTTCTCTTATTTCCGTATCCACTGATCTCGCAAGTTATCGCCCCATTGCCTCTTCCCCTTTCGTTCTCTTCCCTGACCTCCTGTTTACCCCCTGTGCCTTGCAGGTCAAAGGTCGCAGGTCATGCAGGGTCGGAGGTGAAGGTGCAATCCAATATTCGACCTGAATATTTGAGAGGAGAGAGAGAGAGAGAGAGGAGAGAGAGAGGGAGAGAGAGAGGAGAGAGAGAGAGAGAGAAGAGAGAGAGAGAGAGAGGAGAGAAGAGAGAGAGAGAGAGAGAGAGAGAGAGAGAGAGGAGAGAGAGAGAGAGAGAGAGAGAGAGAGAGAGAGAGAGAGAGAGAGAGAAGAGAGAGAGAGAGAGAGAGAGAGAGAGAGAGAGAGAGTGGAGAGAGAGAGAGAGAGAGAGAGAGAGAAAGAGAGAGAGAGAAAGATGAGAAAGAGAGAGAGAAGAAGAAGAGGAAGAGAGAGAAGAAGAGAGAGAGAGAGAGAGAGAGAGAGAGAGAGAGAGAGAGAGAGGGAGAGAGAGAAAGAGAGAGAGGAGAGAGACAGAGAGAGAGAGAGAGAGAGAGAGAGAGAGAGAGAGAGAGAGAGAGAGAGAGAGGAGAGAAGAGAGAGAGAGAGAGAGGAAAGAGAGAGGAAGAGGAAGAGAGCGATAAGGGAGAGAGAGGAGATAGAGAGAGAGAGAGAGAGAGACGAGAGAGAGAGAGAGAGAGAGAGAGAGAGAAGAGAGAGAGAGAGAGAGGGAGAGAGAGAAGAGAGAGAGAGAGAGAGAGAGAGAGAAGAGAAAACGAGCCAAAGAAACCCATAAAAAGTAAGAGACAGAGAGAAAAAAAAAATAAAGATGAGATATGTAACAAGCAAAAAAAAAAAAAAAAAAAAAAGAAAAAAAAGCACACAATCACAAAAACGCATTTTTTGGCCTCGTATGCCTTCAGCATAAATTACCTCCCTCGTAGTCTCCCCTTCTTTCCGCGCGACTCACAGAAAACGGAGAGCGAATGGCGTGTTCTGGACATGTTTCACGAGCGGCGTAACAGCTGGGCAGGGCCATGACTAGGCGCTCGAGGCGTCTTCATGGCTCTCGGCAGGAGATATGGGGCGTCTTGGCCTGCCACGCGTGCACCTGAGGCATGGAGGGGCGGGGGAAGGATGGGAGGGATGGTGCGTGGGAGGAGATGGAGAGGATGGGGAGTTGGGGGAGGATGGAAAGAGGTGGGAGGGAGGGAAGGATGGGGAGGGATGGGGGGAGGATGGAGAAGGAGAGAGGAGGAGGGAAGGGAAGGATGGGGAGGATGGCGGAAGGAGGGGGAAGGAAGGAAAGGTTGGGGAAGGATGGGAAGGGATGGGTGGGGGGAGGATGGGGGAAGGAGGGGGGAGGAAGGGAAGATGGGGGAGTAAGGGTGGATCGGGGGAGATGAGGAAGGATGGGTGGATAGGGGGAAGGATGGAAGAAGGATGGGTGAGTCGGGGGAGTATGGGGAAAGTATGAGGAAGGAAAGGGAAAGACGGAGGAAGGAGTGAGGGGAGAAGATGGTAAGGAGAGGAGAGGGATTTAGATAGACATGGGGTGATGGATATATGAGAAAGGAGAATGAGGATGGGATAAAAGGATGGGATGGGATGGGAGGGAGAAGGGGGGGGGGCAAGAGGCGTAAAGAGAATATGATAATAGTGGGAACAGGAGGATATCTTGATAATGAAAACGAAGAGGAGAGGGAAAAGGAATAAAAAGGAAGAGGGAATGGAGAGAAGAGGATGAGATAATTGAAGAGAAGAAGAATGAGATATTGTGAAAGGAAAGGAATTAAAGAGAAGCGAAAAAAGGAACTGAGGAGAATAGAAAGTAGGGATTAAGGAATTAAAGAAAAGAAATTACCGTAGAGGAGAGAGATTATTGGTAAAATACCTACATATATAAACAAACAAAGAAATACACAAACAAAACAAAGAAAGAGAGAGAGAGAGGAGAGAGAGAGAGAGAGAGAGAGAGAGAGAGAGAGAGAGAGAGAGAGAGAGAGAGAGAGAGAGAGAGAGAGAGAGAAGAGAGAGAGAGATAGATAGATAGATAGATAGATAGATTAGATGAGGGGGTAGAAGAAGAGGAAGAGGAGGAGAGAGAGAGAGAGAGAGAGAGAGAAGAGAGAGAGAGAGAGAGAAGAGAGAGAGCAAGAGAGAAAGAGAGGAGAGAGAAAGAGAGAAAGAGAGAGGGAGATAAAAAAAAAAACAAGAAAAGAATGCAAGGGGAGAAGGAAAGAAGGAGGAAAGATAAAAAGAATCAGGCCAATAAACTAACAGGCCATAGCCGAGGTTAGGGAAGAGATAAGAAAGAAAAATGGAAGGAAAGCGAGGCGGAGGAAGGGGGAAAGCAACAGGTGAGGATAAAGAGAGGAAGAAGAAGGAGGCGAGGAAGAAGGTCAAAAGGAGGAAGACGAAATGAAATAGAGGAAAAAAATAACAACAATAATTCTTTAGGGAATGAAGCATAATCCTGAATATTTATGATACGTAAACAAAAACACAAAAACGAAATAAAAGCAATATATTTGAAAAAAAAATAAAAGCAATCCATTTAAAAAAATAATAATAAAAATAACCTAAACGAAGTATAAATCTATATATTATGAACTAGACAAAAGAAAACACACACAAAAAAACAATAAAAAGTCTGAAGTCTGAAGAATAACCATGAAAAGTAAAAACTATTTGAAAAAAGATTAATAATAAATAACCTAAACGAAGTAAAAATCTAATTATAAACTAGACAAACGAAAACACCCCCCCCCAAAAAAAAGTCCGAAGTCTGGAGAATGACCGCAAATATTACGACACAACAACAACAACAACAACAACAACAACAACAACAAAAACTTACCCTCCCCTAGAGTTAGCGAGCGTCAGGTGGGTCGTAGGGACTCCATTCCCCCCCCCCCCCCCAACCGTATTGAGGAGATCAGTGAACGAGAGAGCCTGTGAATCCTCCATGAATTAAAGATCAGAGGGAATTCAGAACTCGAGATGCTGGCGAGGGAAAAACGGGTACTGCTCCTCATACCTCATCCTTCCCTCATACTCGTCTACTACTTGTAGTGTTTGCAGGTTCTCGTGAGCTCGGGGGAGGGGAGGGGGAGGGAGGGAGGGAGGAGGGAGGAGGGAGGAGGGAGGAGGGGAGGAGGGAGGGAGGGAGAGGGGGAGGGAGGGGAGGGAGGGAGGGAGAGGGAAGGGGTAGGGAGAGGGAAGGAGGGAGGGGGAGAGGGAGGGGGAGGGAGGGAGGTCCGAGTTGGGTGGGTGGTGTGTGGTTGATGGTCTGTCATTTTCTTGGTTTTATATGGGGTTCGAGTTGGGGTGTGAGTCATTATGTTTTGCTAATGTTTTTGTACCTGTTTCTTCTTATTATTATTTTTTGTATCTATTTCTTTTTTTTTTTTTTTTTTGGTGGGGGGGTGAAGTAAATCTTGCGCGGATGATTCCTCCTCAAACTTTCTCGCATATATTTGTATATATATAGGTCTTGGTGTATATATATTTTTTTTCGGATCTTTTTAATCTCTGGTACAAACTTCCCTTTCCCCCGAACTTTCCGAAAAGTCTCGCTACTAAAAAGTTCCCAAGTTCCGCCACCAAGTGACCCTAACTTGAAAAATCGGCTGGCACTTAAGCGATCCCCAAGTTTTTCTTGTAAGTTAGGTTTTGTACTCATTAATCAGCGCCTTTGATCGTTACCGGATTGAGGGAGTTTCTGGGCGGGGGATCGGGTGTGAGGGAGGGTGGGAGGGGGGGGGGGCTCAGAGGAATGGGGTGGAATGAGGAGGGGGTTGGAAGGTGGGGAGGGTGGAGTGGGGCAGGGGAGGGAGGAATTAGGAAGAAGAGGGGGGAAAGGGAAAAGGTAGATAAGCAAGAAATGAAAAAAAGAAAGAGAAGGGGAAGAAAGAGTAAAGAAAAAAGTCAAGAAAAAAGAAGAACCAATAGGAATAGAAATGCAAGAAAATGATTGGACCAAATCGTTTCAGGAAACTAAACGGTGACTGATTAGACAAGTTTTTTTTTTCCCCGGAAAGCGCCGTGGAAATGAATCTATGATAGCCTTTTCGGTGGCTGATTTCGCCAGAATAAAAAAAAAGGTCTATTTTCCCTGCGTTCGGCAAGAAAAATCCTAATCAAAACCTGAATGGCACAAGGAAACAGCATCGTGGAAATGTTCAACAATAGCAAAACCACTTTTTTCGGGGGTGGGGCTGGGTGGAACGAGAGTAAATGAAAAGTGGCGGGCGCTTTCCGTAGAGTTTTGGCGGCGGAGTGTTGGTCGTGGCCGGCAGTTATCCCGCCCCCTTCGACCTGTTCCTTCACCGCCCGGCAGCCGGTCAC